TGGGGTCGAGGATAGAGACATCTTTAGTGTTGAACGGTTAATCACAGGTGGTTAGTTGAAATGGGAGAATTAAGGTTTGTTGGGGTCGAGGATAGAGACATCTTTAGTGTTGAACGGTTAATCACAGGTGGTTAGATGAAATGGGAGAATTAAGGTTTGTTGGGGTCGAGGATAGAGACATCTTTAGTGTTGAACGGTTAATCACAGGTGGTTAGATGAAATGGGAGAATTAAGGTTTGTTGGGGTCGAGGATAGAGACATCTTTAGTGTTGAACGGTTAATCACAGGTGGTTAGATGAAATGGGAGAATTAAGGTTTGTTGGGGTCGAGGATAGAGACATCTTTAGTGTTGAACGGTTAATCACAGGTGGTTAGATGAAATGGGAGAATTAAGGTTTGTTGGGGTCGAGGATAGAGACATCTTTAGTGTTGAACGGTTAATCACAGGTGGTTAGTTGAAATGGGAGAATTAAGGTTTGTTGGGGTCGAGGATAGAGACATCTTTAGTGTTGAACGGTTAATCACAGGTGGTTAGTTGAAATGGGAGAATTAAGGTTTGTTGGGGTCGAGGATAGAGACATCTTTAGTGTTGAACGGTTAATCACAGGTGAAATTAGATGAAATGGGAGAATTAAGGTTTGTTGGGGTCGAGGATAGAGACATCTTTAGTGTTGAACGGTTAATCACAGGTGGTTAGATGAAATGGGAGAATTAAGGTTTGTTGGGGTCGAGGATAGAGACATCTTTAGTGTTGAACGGTTAATCACAGGTGGTTAGATGAAATGGGAGAATTAAGGTTTGTTGGGGTCGAGGATAGAGACATCTTTAGTGTTGAACGGTTAATCACAGGTGGTTAGATGAAATGGGAGAATTAAGGTTTGTTGGGGTCGAGGATAGAGACATCTTTAGTGTTGAACGGTTAATCACAGGTGGTTAGATGAAATGGGAGAATTAAGGTTTGTTGGGGTCGAGGATAGAGACATCTTTAGTGTTGAACGGTTAATCACAGGTGGTTAGTTGAAATGGGAGAATTAAGGTTTGTTGGGGTCGAGGATAGAGACATCTTTAGTGTTGAACGGTTAATCACAGGTGGTTAGTTGAAATGGGAGAATTAAGGTTTGTTGGGGTCGAGGATAGAGACATCTTTAGTGTTGAACGGTTAATCACAGGTGGTTTGTTGAAATGGGAGAATTTAGGTTTGATCGACAGTGTGCGCATGTGCATCCTGCGCGTCGCAGTAAAGTGCGTTTAGTTGCCTGTAGTATTAATATATTTAACCGGGGAAATACCACAATTTCGAAAGTGAGATTAAAAATAGATGTGACGTTAAAGAACTGTCTATTTAGGGTGGAGCTGCAAAAGTGCAAAGGTCTGCTATGGGAGCGTGGTAAAGTCACGGTGACAAATACATGACACATATATTATGAATATCCTCAAAGGATTGAGATGGCACACGTTGACTTATATTATTCCGACAAATAAGTATAAGTGAATATCAATACTTTAATCGCAAGTCAAATGGAATTTATAAAAGAAGACCCAACAATTTTATCGAATGGTGGTATGCTGGCTATAAGCAAGTACCACTCAGCTTTCGGCCAACATTTGCTTTAAACACGTGTACCAAGAACAATCGTATACAAAATATAGGGACTAAATCCCGGATTATAGAAGATTTGAAATGTTTAACCATATACTAGCTGTAATCGTGCCATTACTATAGCTTTATTACCGTAGCGGAACTATAATTATTTTGAATGGGTAAGTCACTATATGCCGATGCGACGGTAAATATCAACTCACTCACTCACTTTGATGATAAGCGATGCGAAATATCAACTTTAATGTACGCTGAATGAAGACGTCTTCACCCGTGACATTAACATATTGAAGGACACATTATGCAGATAGAATTTTAGCCTTTTTACAAGGTAGTATAAAAACACAGGAAAGACAAAATTAGTTTGAACTTTGATTTTTCATATCATTATATCACTGACGACAAGAAACGTCCACCTTTGTATCGACTGTAAACAGATTTCATAGAATCCAACAACTTCCTCCTTGCGATGCGGAAAAAAAGGCAAGCAAAACCTTTGGAATTTGAGACAAAACTAGTTTGTCCTTTGAGTTTTAGATCATTAGTTTATATATATATCTGACAACAGTAATCTTCCATCTTCTTATCTGCTTATAACGGTTTTCACTGAATTGAACAATTTCCTCTCAGGAGCCAAACTGTCGAACATGGTCCCCCATTCGAGGACCTCACCTGATGTTTATACCGACGGTGCCTGAATTTTAACGCCACCTTGAACATTATTTCAGTTTTTCACAAACTGTCGATATTGGAGAAATGTCCAAAGTGATGAATGTGTATTGTTCTGGGATGCGAACCTATAATCATAGTGTGCCGTCATTTCAATGAATAGAAGCACAAATAATTTGTCTTGCTGGTAAAACTTGTTTGATTGACTAAATACACCGACATTTACAATATATGAAATAATTTTCAAAGCAACAATGAAAGATCTGCATTAAGTTCCAGAAAAGCAGCCCCCATTGTCATTACGAGTACTACATCATTTTAAAGACCACTGAAGTCTGAATAGAGCATAACTTTTCCTGCGCATGCGTAGACTAATTGACTTTCTACACATGCGCACCGGTAATCGAAAATACTCGACATATTCATTATGTTGCGTTGTCGCATTGTCGCGCAATTTTAGGCATTTTTTACACATCTTAGATGGGGCGAGAATGCGACAACGCGACATATTTTGACATTGAAAATTGTCGCATTGTAACCCTTTGGATGAATAGAAAAATATTATTCATCACGCGACAATGCGATAAATGGCCGAAATGTCGCGTTGTCGCATTGTCGCGCTTTGGTTAACTTTGCCTCTCTTTGCTTGTTTTTGAGAGGGCGACAACGCGACAGTGTCCCTTCTAGGATTCCATAATTGAGTAATTACAATGCCACTGAACAACAAAATGGCAACACAAAATTCAAAGGCAGTATGTAATACAATATCAGTGGTGCGTTATTGATAATGTCCAGCTAGCTTGTTGTGGTGATTGTACGTGCGCTTCCAACAGTTTTTGGAAATGTAATTACAGATCGCTACGAGTTTCAAAAGAATAATATTATATCTGTATGTAACTTATCAACTTTAATGTTTAACATTGAGCTTATATTTCACATCACTGAGCATATTTTGGTCTGACCTTCTTTTGGTCTTTCATATGTTTTTCAGCGATTTCATTTAAAATTCCATCGGGGTGTGACAGCAACGTTACTTTAAAAGAAACATTGGAATCAACCAGGGATAGAGTTATCGTTCTTGTTGAAAGTAGTTCTGCTGTTCATGCGCCAATATGAAATCCTTCGTGAGGGGCACGAGTCGCAATTCGGCTTGTCCCGGAAAAACACGAGTGGGTCACGAATGTTAACTGTGCATGCAGATGAATCCGCAGTTATCCGTTAGCATTCGTGTCATTCCGGTAGATTCCAGTCACTCATGGCGGAAAAGGTGGAAGTCTCGCATGTTTTCGCACAGACACAGTTAAAGGGAGGTAATAATCAGTTGATTTTATTCAGGTTCTGTGTGGCAGGTTATAGTGAACACAACTTATTCAAATAAAGACATGAAAGGGAGAAAAATAAATTTAACGCTGGCATCTATCTTTCAACACTACGGCATCCGGAATACCAATCAACCAGGGACGCTTATAGTTTGGCATGAAATGCATGTGGACCCGTTTTTTTTGTAAATATCTCTTCATCCAATGACCCAATCGATCTCAAACTATGCAAGTGGATGTTTTGTCACACAACCTAATCACATTGTAAATCACCGATTTTATGCATTTGTATTAAAGAATCTGTCTATGTAACTGTCAACAAAATAAACAGCAGACCGCAGACTGCTTGCAGAGGGAGGGAGCTAATGACCTGTAACAGCGGCAGGCTCGCTGACTTGGTTGACACATGTTATCGGTTGCGCAGATCGATGTTCATGCTGTTGATCACTGGATTGTCTGGTCCAGACTCGCTTATTTACAGACCACGGTCATATAGCTCGAATATTGCTGAGTGCGGCGTAAAACTAAACTCACTCACTCACTCCTTGTACTTAAAGCGTTCGCCGGAAACCCAGGTTCGATTCCCAATATGTGAGTGTGTTTTGCCGCAGTGAGTTTCGTGGTATATGTCTAGGAGAGGCCAAAATGTCACTCACTCGGTCAATTTCATCATCCGAGTTGCCACACTTGGAAATACCACGAGCGTTGCGGTCATGGATACGAAAATTGAGTTATGTAAATTAATCAGTGCGTTGAAATTTGATTTTTCGTCGATTAATAACACGGCACTTATGTGTAGTTTTAAAATAACCGATTTGCATCTAATATTTTTAACACACGATTGGTAGCAATTCTTTTCAGAACTATTGTGTAATACTGATGTACTATAATACTGCTTTATACATAAGAGAATCTCGGTGTAGACAACTGCAACCGACAAGGCATTCCTCGTGCACCACGTGCGGGGGAGTGCGACGCAGTGCACGTGGAATTCATGCTCCACGTGCACTGTGACATGTCGCCACAGACTGCTGCGATCATCAGCAGACGAACACACAATCAACTGGGCCATGAGCTGATCGCGTTCGACTGTTGTTAACTTATAGCACATTTAATAATGCGATAATACGTACGCTTTCGTGCTGTAGTTTAAAGCGCACATAAAATCTTTACATCACGTCTCAATGTGTTTGCGCCACAGTAAAACATATTGACAAATAATGAAGATTCTCCAATTGAAATAATTTGAAACTATAGTCGGTACAATTACGGAGAATTAAAGGCGTGTTTCAATCCACTATCAGATACTTTCCATCAAATCATTACTACATATTTTAAATAATTACAAGGGTGCGTTTATATCAGAAGGTTATGACATTCAAACTACCAAACAGAAAAAATATACATCAACATGACAGGGTAATGAAATGTATTTATTACAATTTGGCAGTCGGGAAAACAGACAGCATAGAAACAGGAAACTGAATACTCATCAGGCAATTTTGGTATATTATATATATGTAGCCAAGGTGGATTACCTGACTGGGTCATTTTAAATTATTCTATTCATTGTTTTTCATTATTGCGTTACCACCCTCCAAAACGCCCTCTTTCAGTCGTCTGCTCGCTTATCGGAAGTATGTTAATTCAAAGTCACCATCGCATCTCTAGCATTCGTCACCTGAAGTAATGGGAGGCGAGTTGTTACGAATGGTAACCTCCAAGAAATCTCGCTATTCGGCTTGCTCCGAAATAACACGAGTTGATCACAAATGCTCCAGCTAGTTGGTGCTGACTTTCGGATCCGAAAATCAGCCATCTAGCATTTCATGCATTTTCCGAAATCTGCACCTCTCCCCAAACACTTCAATGTGTCGCATATTACTCTAGAACCGAATCAACATCACTAAATTTCTCTCGCGCGGACCTTTCCCGCAAACCAGCCTACCCCGTTCCCCAAAGAACCCTCCCTAATATTTCCCGTTAAGTCTCTATCTTCCCCTTCCCTCCCTCTGCCTGCTATTGCTGCCTGCCCTTGATTCGGTCCTACTGGGTACCACGGCGTGGGTGGTTGCACTTGTATCTGATGAGAGTTGGAGTGGTGGTGCAGGTGCAGTCTTGGTAGATGCGGCCGTTGACGTGGTAGGGGAAGCGTTCTCCGGGGCCACGGCATCTACCACTGACATCGCGGCATCCTGGAACAAAAACGTGTGCATATGAACATAGACTCTGACATCACAGTGAAAACTGGCAGAAATGGAGCAACCGGTTGATTGTCAGAAGGAAAGAGGTGACGGTGGCGATTTTTTTACGCGGCTTTTAGCTTTTAGTAACATCACGGCGGGGGACACCAGAAATGGGCTTAACACTTTGTACTCAGATAGGGAATCGAACCCGGGTCGAACGCTTTAACCACTAGACTACCCAACCACCCCTTAGTGGTGACGGTGGTGATGAGAGAGTGAGTTGTTTTTACGCCGATTTTAGCAATATTCCAGCAATATCACCTGGAATGGGCTTCTGACATTGTACCCATATGGGGTATCGAACCCGGGTCTTCGGCATGAAGAGCGAACGCTTTAACCAATAGACTACCCCACCGCCCCGCCGGTTGTGATGGCAGAGGGTAGTGGTGTAGATGGTGTTGTTATGTGCTTGTGCGTGTGCGTGTGCGTGTGTGTGTGCGTGTGTTTGTGTTGTGTGGGGTGGGGTGGTGCTGGTTTTGGGGGAAGGGGGAGGTATTGTAAAGAGGTAATCAAGCCGCTCTTTTACTGAATTTCTGTTGTGGGAAAACGAAGTTGGCATTTTTTGTTAAAACAAGTGCCGATAGAATCCTATTCGTTGACAAGTATCAGGTATGTTCAAAATGGAGTTTTGAGTTTTGAGGCCTGACATTTCTATGTGGACAAATGAAGTCAATAGTTAATAGGTCCGAAGTATGAAGGAGTCCTTTGTGGCCGATTTGTAATTCCACAATACCAAAGAAATCAGCTTGATGGGGAGAAAAGCCACGACATGATGCAGGTCTCATACGTTCAACTCTTTGTTGAAAGTCAGGAACACGGATAAAGTGATAACACACCTGGGCCTAGATTTTCGAAGCTCTCTTAGCGCTAAGATAGTCGTAAGTTAATGTTAATGTATGGCACTTACGACTATCTTAGCGCTAAGAGAGCTTCGAAAATCTAGGTCCAAAAAACGTAATCAATGTGGGATTCCGACAGCAAATAGGAAATATAAAGATTAATTCCACATCTTGAAAAGTTCTACGTTTATCGACCCACCTGACCGCAGTCTCTGAATCTCGTACGAGTAGTATGACTGTTTTTTGCAACTGTAGGTGTGGCAGTCACTGGCGGACCACGTGCTTCCAATACTGTGGCACGAACCATCGTGAGGGCATCCTGTAAATATACAATGTATATCGATCACCCAGTACTCAGAGTAACCCAGATCCGGTCTTCCAGCGTATTAAATCGGTTAGGGACTGGGTACCTCTCGCAGAATCCACCGAACTGGGCCCCATTTCACAGACCGATTGTAGCGCTAAGGTGATCGTAACTCCCATACTTTAACACAGACTTACGACTGTCGTAGCGCTATGTTTGTTTTGTACAATGGCACCTTGGCGTGTTTGTTCACGATGGGGCAACAAAGTGTTTAGACGTTCATACCCAAGAATTTTCGCAAGTCGGATACGTCACAAAATACATTTTTTCTTAAACATGTGTATTTTAATTTTCAGTGACCTCTAGATAGAAGATGGATCACTCTGAATGGACGAATAGAAACCGTCACTGACCAGTGGAAGGTGGGGACTTTGTCATGTATGGATAGCGTTCTCGAAACAACAAACCAGTAGGATAAGCTTGGTATCACAATCCAATAAATATGCAAATGAGGTTCCCTAACAGGAACTACATTTTTATAGGTTATGTGCGTTGAAATTTCATCTTTTTCAATACCCTATCGCATTCCGTTCTCAATAAGTTTAGATTGGTTTTTATCAATGTGTTAATGTTTCTGTGTACAATTAACGGATCAAGACATTGGGGACTTTTTGATGAATTGGACAGTTGTATTTATGCGCAGTTTCTGTGGATACTAAAATTAAGAACTGACTCTATTTAGTAGGGCTGTAACGATGCATCGAACTATCGATGGATGGCAATTGTTGAGTCTCCGATAGCAATTAATCGATGGTAGAAGCGAAAAACTATCGATGCATCGATAGTATGTGTGGCTATTGTTAATTTAGCAATTGACTTCCGTTGATAAATGCGCAGCGCAAAATATAGGATGTTTGGACGCAGACTGGCAGCTTCATTGAGTTTATGTTTTAACTGTTTACATGATCTGGGTTTCAAGTTTCTTGTCAGTTATTAAAAGAGACTGAAACTACATTATACGTCAGCTTGATTTTTTTTTATATAAACTATACATTCATTTGGGAAATGACTTCAAATGAGACAATTCAAAGAGGAAAAACCCTGTTGCAATAGTATTGCAATAGTTGGTCGCAATAGACTATCGCTATCGCAATAGTATGTTGCAATAGACTATCGCTATCTAGTAGGGCAGATAATGCAAAAATCGTTCACTTTGTGATACAAGCAACAAAATTTGCACACATGTTCACTTTGGGACACTTACTGAAAAAATAACGAGGCCACTCAAATGGCCGCCATTTATATTACACTATCTTTGTTTCGGCTCCTAAAGACATAATTTCTCTGAGATTTTCAACGTATTTGTGTCTCAATGTGTTAATTAAGATATTGTTTATGCTATGTAGCAAAATATGATTGCTTCCAAAATCCAAGATGGCCACCAATTTTCCAAAAACAGCAAAGTTTTAAAAATGTTTCTTGCATTTTGAACTCAAAACAAGACAGAATCAAAAGAAGTCTCCAGATTTGACTTTCATCATAACATCTCTAGATTGGATGATGTAATAGGCTAGAAAACATATTAATTTTGCTGAAGGAAATCCAAGATGGCCGCCATATTATATTATAAACAAATGTCATATGATCACTTAATACAAGAACATGATTTAGAAGACAATGAATGTTCAATGATAGTTTTATAGCTTTCCAAAGAACAAAATTATTGTAAGGAAGTATAGACATCAAAATCATCTATATTGTAACTGTTTACCTGGCTCATTTGTTTAGTTTATAATTGCCTCTCTAAATGATCTGATCAGCGTTAGGATCAAGAGTTTGTAACTGTTTACCTGGCTCAATTGTTTCATTTATAAGATGAGATGAGATATCAATGTTTCAATATATTTTTTATACCATTTATTTATTTATTTACATCAAGTTTGATAACTATAATAAAAAATATATAAAAACATCATAAAGTTTGTTTGTGTCAAATGTTATCTAATTTTGAATCTATACTACTAAAAAAAAGAAACGCATAGCTGAAAATAGTCATATATTTAAGCATGTAAGTTTAAGTGATACAGGACAGTGATAGAGAAAACACTGTTGAACATGTATTGTCCAGTGGAAGTAGAGGTGGGACGTAACAAATGACATGTGCAGTAAGGTCAAAGTCACAAAGCAGTCAATATCTTATGTGAACGCCATTAGCAACAATGGTTGCCTGGCATTGGCGTCCCATAGATTGGATCAGATTCCGGATGAACTGTCTGGATGATATTCTTCGTGCAAAATCAGAAATAAAGCAGCTAGGGTCTGCAGCTGAGAATCACACTGTCTCGCACGTCGATCCAGTTCGTTCCACAAATGTTCAATTGGGTTCAGATCTGGTGATCGGAGGGTCATGCAAGAACCTGAACGTTGTGCTGAATCTTGCTGTATGCGGTCGAGCATTGTCATGTTGGAAAATGACGTTCTGACAGTTCATGAATGGAATGACATGAGGCCTGATGATTTTATGGAACAGTAACGTCGAGCTGTAAGATTGCTTTGGACGTCGAGCTGTGAGATTGCTTTGGACGTGAATAACATCGGGTCTTCCATTGCCTGCCCAAACCATAACACTATCGCTACCGAATCTGTCCACTTCCCGTACGCAATTGGGAGCAAACCATTCATGACGCCATCTGTACACACATGCTTTTCCCTCAGGCTGAGCATATAGCAGCCCACGACTCATCACGGAACACGACAGTTCTCCACTTTGTAGTGGTCACTGTAGATACCACTGTCTACGTTGTGGCCGATGATGTCGTGTAAGGATAGGTCCTCGCAAAGGTCTCCTTGGACGAATATCAGCCAAACGAAGGCGGTTTCTGACAGTTTGGTCCGAGATTGTTCGGAGTCCTGGCACCACAGATGTTGTAGAGAATGCGATCGTCAACCTGTTCCGTAAGTGTCGAAGAATAAACCTGTCCTGGGCGGATGTGGTCACCCAGGATCATCCTGACCGAGGACGATCAAGTGTCGATCCATACTGCTGGTGCTGATGCCAAAGCCTTCCTATGGTACTCTTAGACACATAAAAGTGCCTGACCGATGACTACGACTCACCAGCTTCCAAATGACCGATCGCATTATTGTGCTGAGTCTCGGTAAGTCTAGGCATGACTTCTCATCAAGATTTACGTTTGTCAATTGCCGCTAAAACAATCAGACCCCGCTGGTTTCTATTGTAAATGTTGCACGGATTGTGCATGCAGAGGGAAGTGCATGAATCGCATCACATTTATTCTTTATTATCTTTATTGAGAAAAAAACAGATTCGGTTGCGTTTTGGCGACAGGTTTTCAATGACAATTGAGTCAAACTCGGAAATGGTTGAAGGGAACGTTCACCATTAGGGTTGTGTATTGGCAAATAAATTGTATTGCAATATATTACGATTCAGGTTCCCGTATTGCCATACGTATTGCGATATATTGGGACTCGTCAATCCTAGTTTCTACATTATAAGTCCCTAAACATATATGTCATGATTTTGATTCTCAAAATTAGGTTGCATAGTCAGGAATTATATTTTCTTTGTTTATAATATTTATAGTATTACAATATGCCGTTTTGTCATTGAATAACGAAGGCCGGCCAGAAGTCTAGATAACGTATCTGCGTAAAATACGCATTTAAGTTTCCAAAATACGCACAGAAATATATCTGTAGCGTCCCAAATACACAAAGGAAATTACAGAAACTCTTTGGTTATATTCTAACCTGCGTACCATGACTTACCGGCAAAAAACAAGTGCGTAACAGAAAGTAGCTAACTGTCAAATGTTACGATCGGATAGGGTAGATTATCGATTGAATTTCACTATGTATCTCTTCGTATTATGAACTACAGAAAGAAACAATCGCGCAAACGCAGTTAGTTATGTATGTAACACTAGTCTTGATTAGTTCTGCTAAAAATATCATCCAATGAAATCGCTCGTCTTGTTAGAAAGTCTGGACACTCATTGTTTATCAACGATGGCCTCACGGAAGTCGCGTGTTCATTCGTCGTCTAAAACATCATCTCAAAGTAAGATTTCGGCATTTGTCACAGTTCGAAATCTATCATTTGAAACTTCTGCCATCGCAAAAGAAATTATTTTGAACTTATTGGCAATTGTTTTGAATCGGCGGTTGCTGTCGATAGAATATTGGCAGATTTGCTCACCACTGTCACACACGCACCGGCAAAGAAACATGACGGGAATAAACTTTCGAAAAAAACTCAGGATGCATGGAAAATGAAGTTTCCATGGTTATCTTTCAATAAACAATCTGATGAAATGAGACTATGCTGCACTTATTGTCAGTCGGCAAAGATAAGTTTGTCCCTTACAAGTGTGTGGGCAAGAGATGGTACACCAAGTATTCAGATGTCGAGCCTGATCAAGCATAACAACAGAGAAGATCACAAACGTGCTTCTGATAAAATAGAGAGAGACAAGGGGGCAGGTATAATACAAGAGGAATTAGGCGATGATGTTGGTTACGTTTGTTCTAATGATGACGCCATCTTGTTTAATACTGTATATTTTGCTGCCAAATCGGAATGCCCATCTGAACAGGTGAATGGTCTGTTGTCATTACAGAAAATGAATGGTTTGGATGTCAAGTACAAGAACTTGAGTTGGTCAACTGTAACAGAGATTCAAACATCTATTTGCCATGTCCTGACAAAGACACTTGTCAATGAGATTAATTTATCTGAAGTATTTTCAATAATGCTTGATTAAAGCACTGATGTGACTGTTGTAAAAAAGGTTAAGCATATGTGTCAGATATGTGAAAGCTGGAGAACCTGTGACTAGTTTCTTATGTAATCACCCTATTGATGATGGTTGTGCTCACACCATTGTTAACTGTGTAGCAGCAGAATTTGAAAAGTTAGGCATTGACTTAACAAAATGTGTTTCTCTCTCAACTGACGGCGCTGCTGCTATGATGGGTAAGCGCACAGGTGTAGGAAAACAAATGCAAGCCAAGTATTCTCCTTTCTGCAGCTGAGAAAAATGCAGTTGCAAAAGGCTTGTACAAGTACTTTGCTAGCTATAAAGTGGCACTGGTAATAGCTTTCCTCCTTGATACCCACACAGAGTTGGCAGTGTTAAGCTGTAGCCTCCAGAAGAAAAACCTTCTCTTTAGTGAACTCAGGCCTCTTATTGAAGGCCACTCAATAAAGTCGATACCATGAAAGCTCATGACGGGCAAGGCTTGAAGGAAATGAAGACCAGAATTGAAATAAAGAATGAAGAAGCATTTGTAGGTGGAGAGAAGTTGCTATTTGCTAAAACAATGAACGGAAAGTTTGAGACCCTCAGAGCAGAATACCTGAAGAACCTCATGAAGAATATGAAGAACATATTCAAGGAAGAAGACAGTGCCATTTTCACAGATATGAGTATGGCTCTGGAACCACTTACAGTAAACACTGTCTGGTGATGCTGTCGCACATCTTGGTGCTCTCTATGGTGCACAAAAGTACAACCTGACAAACTTCTTGGCGAATGGCCCAGGCTTAGAGGAATGATCAGTGGAACATATTCAAAACTTCTACCTGAACAACTCTGCAAAAGGGTCATTCTGCTTCACAAAGATTCAATGCCGAACTGTGCCAAGCTTGTTTCTATTGCTCTGTGTTTGCAGCTTACAAGTGTTGAATGCGAGCGGAGCTTCAGCACAAAAAATCGAGTGAAGAATAAGTTTAGAGCATCACTTGGTTCTGAAAAACTGGATTAACTCCTCAAACTAAGTATGCTGGATCCATCTCTGCAGTTGTTTGATTCCCGTCCTGCAATCAAACACTGGCTCAGAAAAAGAAGAAGAAAGTGCAGACTCTTCTGTGATTACCAGCCCAAATCTCCTAAACTGGCTAAAACGTGTGACACTGAATGACAATTAGTAAGTGATCCATCTACTTAACCATATCTGCTTCCATTTATTCAATATTATTGTGAGAGTTCAAACAGTTAACCAGTTTAAAAGAACATTCATGTCGATATGTATTTCAATTTAGTCACTGCACAAGTCAAATAATAAAGTAGCTTAAAACTTCACATTTTGGGGGTATGTACCTTTAAACAACGACCGAGTTAATGTCCGAAGTACAAACAACTGGCTATAGTTATCTTTTTTAACATTTTTTAAATTACGGACATAGAAAATACCCACATTTTCAAAAAAGGGTGGGTATCGGAAAATTTGAGTACCCACTGAAGTACCCATTTATAACTGACACCATGGGTAAAATACCCAGATTGTAAAACGCTTATCTAGAACTCTGTAAGATAGTGAAATATTTACACGCACATACACATTTCAAGTTTTCCTAATGGGATACATTGAACAAAGAACACATGCATACACTGATCAACAATCAGATGTGATGTAAGTCATGGATAAGGTAGAGCTGAACTGACTCATTGAGTGTATTTGTTATTTTTGCATTTATAAACAAGAAAGAACAAAACATCACCTATTTCATATACTCTCGCCCTGCCAAACTCGCACCTGTACTTGAGGCAGGGGGGATCTGGCGGTGTTGAACACCTGCCCATGTGTGAAGACACCTTCACTGGTGTAGCAGTTGCCCCGCTGGCCTGTAACAGAGGGAAGTGAGTGAGTGAGTGCGTACGTGACTGAGTGAGTGAGTATCAGCGATATCACACCGGGAGACACAAGAAATGGGCTTCACACATTGTACTCATGTGGGGAATTCAGTGAGTGAGTGAGTGAGTGAGTTGGTTTAGCTTTACGCCGTACCCAGCAATATTCCAGCTATATGGCGGCGATCCGGGCAATTCAGCGTAGTCTGTGCTCGAACGACAAAGTAATGTACAAGCAAGAAACCATTTTCTAATCTGGCTCCCAGAAATGTTTTTCCCAAACACAACAAACACACCCCTCAAAAAACGCAAAAACCTGCAACGAAAACAAAAAAACAACTACCACAGTAAACAGGACAAACCACAGAAATGGATATGACATCAACTGAACAAGAGCAACAATTTGGGTACCACACATTTAGAGGGGTCACACATTTTGACCACTCGATCCACAATTTATCGCCCCCAGGTGGAGCATGATATCGTGGTGCACACCGTTTTCTACCAAGGAATTACAACTTTGTGCTGTGTCTGTGTTAAAACTTATATTCACCCGCCCTCTTCTTGATGACAGGGCCGGCCAGTACGCCAGACAGACCAGCAATCAACAGTACGCATAGGATCACCTTCATCATGGCTGCTGCTGAAGGGGAAGAATAGCTAACATCAAATAATCTACATGAGTAATGTTAACTGAATGAAACGACTTTGCTTTATAATGTTTCCTCGTAGTAATGAATGAGTGTAGTTTTACGCCGTAATCAGTATTACAGCAATGTCACAGCGTGGCACAACAGAATGGGTTTCACACATTGTACCCATATGGGGAATCGAACCCGGTTACTCGACGTGACGAGCGAACGCTTTAACTACTAGGCTAGCTCAAAGCCGTCTTGTACTGCATATAAAGACGTACCAACGCTACTCTAAATGAACGTCATACCAGGACAAAGAGAAGTAAAGATTATTTGTTCCGAGTAAAATTGGAGTAATTGTACTTTAAATCTTTGTCCATTTTGACGAAGATCATATGACCTCCTATTCCAGTTTTCAAATTGTTATTCTTCAATTTACGCCCTGTTATTTCAAGAAAAGAAAATGCATGAGATATCAGAGAAAATTCTATGAAACAAGCCTGTATTCAAAAGAGTTAATAAATCTATTCGTGACGTCCTCCACAATAGTTGACGTCAAACCGTATTCTCTACTTATGTCATAGCGTTTAAACCGGCCAATCGACAATGTGACTAAACACAGCGTTCGGAAATCCTGCCTCCCCGACCGCCCAGGACGGGTTATTTTCAACACGGACTGCCAGATTCTCAAATTAAAATTAAGACATGTATATGAAGATATTTATCGTCTTTCAGGATAATAAATCATCATTAATTCACTCGTAAAAATAAATTATGAATTCCAACTGGATGATAAACTACGTCGCTTGTCAAACCTAAATTATTTGTGGACATATTAATCATGGTCAGGGCTGGCAAGTTTTACATCTAACCAGCCCTGTGGTCTGGCTGAAATGTTTTTGAGTCACACCCTGCTAAATAAAGTATACATTTGCAAATTACGCTAGATAAGTGTCTCCTTTCAGGCGATGAGGGATGACAGTGTTTTCTAACTGTAACATTGCTGTGCTGACCTTTCGGTTTGACTTCATGTGACTGATGTCCATGTGACTACATGTGTTAACCAGGGACGCTTAAGATACAGGTTCTATTCCTGACATGGGTACAATGTATGGAGCCCATTTCTGGTGTAGGATATTGCTGGGATATTGGCGTAAAACTATACCCACTCCCACATTTAAACCAGGGGGCGACTTGACCTTATACTTAATACCCGTGAAGGTCCGGGTTAGAATATTGATCTTCAGTAACCCATGCTTGTCGTAAGAGGCGACTAACGGTATCGGTTGGTCAGGCTCGCTGACTTGGTTGACACATGTCATCGCTTCCCAATTGTGCAGATCAATGTTCATGCTGTTGATCACTGGATTGTCTGGTATAGACTCGATTATTTACAGACATCAAATCATTACTACATATTTTAGATAATTACAAGAGTGCGTTTATATCAGAAGGTTATGACATTCAAACTACCAAACAGAAAAAAATATACATCAACACGACAGGGTAAAGGAATGTATTTATTACAGTTTGGCAGTCGGGAAAACAGACAGCATAGAAACAGGAAACTGAATGATCATCAAGCAATTTTGGTATATTATATATATGTAGCCAAGGTGGATTACCTTCATTCACCGGACTGGGTCATGTTAAGTTATTCTATTCATTGTTTTTCATTATTACGTTTCCACCTTCCAAACCCTGACGCCCTCTTTCAGTCGTCTGCTCGCTTACCAGAAGTATGCTAATTCAAGGTCACCGTCGCATCTCTAGCATTCGTCACCAGTCGCCCCTTTCCGTAACCTGCCATTTTCCTACTACTGAAGTAATTCCGGATAAGCCGGATGGCGTGGGTCGCAGAAAGAGGCGAGTAGTTACGAATGGTAACCTCCAAGAAATCTCGCTATTCGGCTTGCTCCGGAATAACACGAGTTGATCACAAATGCTCCAGCTAGTTGGTGCTGACTTTCGGATCCGAAAATCAGCCATCTAGCATTTCATGCATCATTTTCGTTTGGCATGGTTTGACATTTTCCGAAATCTGCACCTCTTCCCATACACTTCAATGTGTCGCATATTACTCTAGAGCCGAATCAACATCGCTAAATTCCTCTCGGGCGTACGTTCCCCGCAAACCAATCTACCCCTTTCCCCAAAGAACCCTCCCTAATATTTCCCGTAAGTCTCTATTTTCCCCTCCCCTCCCTCTGCCTGCTATTGCTGCCTGCCCTTGATTCGGTCCTACTGGGTACCGCGGCGTGAGTTGTTGCAGCTGTAGCTGATGGCAGTTGGAGTGGTGGTGCAGGTGCAGTCTTGGTAGATGTGGCCGTGGACGTGGTAGGGGAATCGTTCTCCGGGGCGGCGGCATCTACCACTCGCATCGCGGCACCCTGGAACAAAAACGTGTGCATATGAACATACACTCCGACATCACAGTGAAAACTGGCAGTAATGCAGCAACCGGTTGATTGTCAGAGGGAAAGAGTTGACGGTGGTGATCTTTTAACGCCGCTTTCAGCAATACTTCAGTAATATCACGGCGGGGGACACCAGAAATGGGCTTAACACATTGTACCCATGTGGCGAATCGAACCCGGGTCGAACGCTTTAACCACTAGACTACCCAACCACCCCTACATGAGTGAGTGAGTGAGTTTGGGTTAACGCCGCTTTTAACAATATTCCAGCAATAACACGGCGGGGGACACCAGAAATGGGCTTAACACATTGTACCCATGTGGGGAATCGAACCCGGGTCCCACCCCTAAGTGGTGACGGTGGTGATGTGAGAGTAAGTTGTTTTAACGCCGATTTTAGCAATATTCCAGCAATATCACCTGGAATGGGCTTTACACATTGTACCCATATGGGGAATCCGACCCGAGTCTTCGGCATGGACAGCGAACGCTTTAACCAGAAGACTACCCCACCACCCCGCCGGTTGTGATGGCAGGGGGTAGTGGTGTAGATGGTGTTGTTGTGTGCGTGCGCGTGTGCGTGTGCGTATGCGTGTGTTTGTGTGGGTTGCGGTGGGGTGGGGTGGGGTGGTATTGTAAAGAGGTAATCAAGCCGCTCATTTACTGATTTCTGTTGTGTGAAAACGAAGTTGGCATTTTTGTCAAGACAAGTGCCGATAGAATCCTATTTGTTGTTTTAATATATTACCCCAAATTACCATTCAGCACCCGTTCACGTTAGAAGGAATAGCTAAAACATAAGAAACAGAATCGTTTATCTTAAACCAAAAGCATCCTCCACCCCAAAAATGATTGTTCCCTTATAATTGACCTACGCCAAATGCTTTTCCACGGACATCAATCTTCAAGGACAAAGTAAGGGATTGCGGCCCTTTTTGCCGAAATGAAACTGCCAAATGTTAAAGCTATATATGAGAACACATTACCACAATCCTTAGGCCTCACAAAAAAACGTTGTAGTTTCTCATCACTTTTTGAAAAAGAAATATGGGGCAGTCAGGAGGATTTTATTTTTTCATTTTATTTATTTTATGTCCCAAACCCTTGATTTTTGTGGAAATTCACACCTTTTCTCCCATAGGAAAACAAAAATTTATGCACATTTTGAGAGAGAAAGTTGTATTTGCTCTAGTGTAAAAGTTTAAAAAATCTTAAGGTCGGGTCGAATTTTTGGGTCTGGCGGTAATGAGAAACATGTTTATATATGGCCTTAAGAAAAGTATCAGATATGTTCAAAATGGAGTTTTGAAATTCGAGGCCTGACATTTCTATGTGGACAAATGAAGTCAATAGTTAATAGGTCCGAAGTATGAAGGAGTCCTTTGTGGCCGATTTGTAATTCCACAATACCAAAGAAATCAGCTTGATGGGGAGAAAATCCCCGACATGATGCAGGTCTCATACGTTCAACTCTTTGCTGAAAGTCAGGAACACGGATAAGGTGATATCACACCTGGGCCTGGATTTTCGAAGCTCTCTTAGCGCTAAGATAGTCGTAAGTTAATGTTAATGTATGGCACTTACGACTATCTTAGCGCTAAGGAAGTTCTACGTTTATCGACCCACCTGACCGCAGTCTCTGAATGTCGTACGAGGTGTATGACCGTTTGTTGCAGGTGTAGGTGTGGCAGTCACTGGCGGACCACGTGCTTCCAATACGGTGGCACGAACCATCGTGAGGGCATCCTGTAAATATACAATATATATCGATCACCCAGTAATCACCCAACCTCGGTCTTCCAGCGTATTACATCGGTTAGGGAGTGGGTACCTCTCGCAGAGTCCACCGAACTGGGCCCCACATCACAAAGCGATCGCAGCGTTAAGGTGATCATAACTCCCATACTTAAACATAGACTTACGGCAGTCGTAGCGCTACGATCGCTTTGTGAAACGGGCCCAACAGGGTGATGCTTAATCTCTCTGCTTTTCAAATGTGGCGCATGGCCTGACGCTTTACTTCACCTTACAAGGGTGCCGTTGTACAAACCGATCTTAGGGCTAAGGTGATCGTAACTCCCATACCGTAACATAGACTTACGACAGTCGTAGCGCTAAGTTTGTTTTGTACAATGGCACCTTGGCATGTTTGTTCACGATGGGACAAAAACAGTGTTTAGACGTACAAACCCAAGAATTTTCAGAAGTCGGATACGTCACAAAATACATTTTTCTTAAACTTTTGTATTTTAATTTTCAGTGACCTCTAGATAGAAGATGGATCACTCTAAATGGACAAATAGAAACCGTCACTGACCAGTGGAAGGCGGGGACTTTGTCATGTATGGATATCGTTCTCGAAACAACAAACCAGTAGGATAAGCTTGGTATCACAATCCAATAAATATGCAAATGAGGTTCCCTAACAGGAACTACTTTTTTATAGGTTATGTGCTTTCAAATTTCATCTTTTTCAATACCCTATCGCATTACCTTCCTAATAAGTTTAGATTGTTTTTATGAATGTGTTAATGTTTCTGTGTACAATTAACGCATCAAGACATTGACGACTTTTTTGATGAATTGGACAGTTGTATTTATGCGCAGTTTCTGTGGATATTAAAATTAAGAACTGACTCTATTTAGTAGGGCTGTAACGATGCATCGAACTATCGATGGATGGCAATTGTTGAGTCTCCGGTAGCAGTTCATCGATGGTAGAAACAAAAAACTATCGATGCATCGATAGTATGTGTGGCTATTGTTAATTTAGCAATTGACATCCGTTGATAAATGCGCAGCGCAAAATATAGGATGTTTGGACGCAGACTGGCAGCTTCATTGAGTTTATGTTTTAACTGTTTACTTGATCCTGGTTTCAAGTTTATGGTCAGTCATTAAAAGAGACTGAAACTACATTATACGTCAGCTTGTTTTATTTTATATAAACTAAACATACATTTGGGAAATGACTTCAAATGAGACAGTTCACAGAGGAAAAAACCCTGTTGCAATAGTATTGCAATAGTTGGTCGCAATAGACTATCGCTATCACAATAGTATGTTGCAATAGACTATCGCTATCGCAGTAGTTGTTTCCCCATCAATAGTCACCACTCCTATTTAGAGTGCGAGTCAAACAATATAAGCGTCGGACCTAGCGACGGTCCCCTCGCACAATAGAAGGCTGGATGCCGTGAGTAACCTTTCCATTACGTGTTTGACGTTTTAAAGGGAAAATGATTATCGATTATTAGTGAACGAATTACACGCACATACACTGCAAACTATTTCAAGTTTTCCTAATGGGATACATTGAACAAAGAACACATGCATACACTGATCAACAATCAGATGTGATGTAAGTCATGGATAAATTAGACCTGAATTGACACATTGAGTGTATTTGTTATTTTTGCATTTATAAACAAGAAAGAACAAAACATCACCTATTTCATATACTCTCGCCATGCCAAACTCGCACCTGTACTTGAGGCAGGGGTATCTGGCGGTGTTGAACACCTGCCCATGGCTGAAGACACCTTCACTGGTGTAGCAGTGGCTCTGCTGGCCTGTAACAGAGGGATGTGAGTGAGTGAGTGAGTGCGTACGTGAGTGAGTGGGTATCAGCGATATCACACCGGTTTCACACATTATACTGATTTGGGGAATTCAGTGTGGTCTGTGCTCGAACCACAAAGTCATGTACATGCGAGAAACCATTACCTCATTTGGCTCCCAGAAAGACTGAATGTGGGCACAAAAAAATCCCTAAACAGAACAAACACGCTCTTTAAAAAAACGCAAAAACTTGCAACGAAAACAAAAAACAACTACCAAATAATCAAAAACAACAAACCACAGAAATGGATATAACATCAACTGAACAAGAGCAACAATTTGGGTACCACACATTTAGAGGGGTCACACATTTTGACCACTCGATCCACAATTTATCGCCCCTACGTGAAGCACGATATCGTGGTGCACACCGTTTTCTACCAAGGAATTACAACTTTGTGCTGTGTCTGTGTAGAAACTTATATTCACCCGCCCTCTTCTTGATGACGGGGTCGGCCAGTACGCCAGACAGACCAGCAATCAACAGTACGCATAGGATCACCTTCATCATGGCTGCTGCTGAGGGGGAAGAATAGCTAACATCAAATAATCTACATGAGTAATGTTAACTGAATGAAACGACTTTGCTTTATAATGTTTCCTCGTAGTAATGAATGAGTGTAGTTTTACGCCGTAATCAGTATTACAGCAATGTCACAGCGTGGCACAACAGAATGGGATTCACACATTGTACCCATATAGGGAATCGAACCCGGTTACTCGCCGCGACGAGCGAACGCTTTAACTACTAGGCTAGCTCAAAGCCGTCTTGTACTGCATATAAAAACGTACCAACGAGTAATTGTACTTTAAATCTTTGTCTATTTTTGACGAAGATCATATGACCTCCTATTCCAGTTTTCAAATTGTTATTCTTCAATAGCATAATTTGCCCTTTGTTAAAAGCTGGCGACAAGAACGACCCCGATAATTACCGTGGTATATCCCTCATTGATTCCCTTTGTAAATTATTTACATCAATTCTTAATAAAACATAAAAAATCTGGTGTGATTTAAATAATATCATTTGTGAATATCAGGCTAGCTTTAGGGAAAACTATTCTACAACAGACGACATTTTTAAACTTCAGGCTGTCATACAGAAATATTCATGTAAAAAACAGGGCAGATTTTATTGTCTTTTTATCGATTTTTCAAAAGCTTTCGATACTCTTAAACATGATATACTTATAGATTCTATTCATAAGGTTGGATTAGATGGGAAGTTCTTAGATATTATCACATGTATGTATAAGTCACTTTGTGCCTGTGTTAGAACCCCTGAGGGACTTTCTAAACAATTTTCTTGTAATGTGGGTACCTGCCAGGGATGCATTTTAAGCAGTCAGATATTTATAATATTTATTAATCATTTATGCACAATTATGCAAAGTGAAGGTGGTATGGGAATATTTATCACTGTTGTTTTCAATAGTGTGTATGCCCTTATGTTTGCTAATGAAGTTTCGGCTCTTTCAAGACACTTGTATTCAATTGCAGAAAATGATAAATGCCCTTGAATTATTTTGCAAGGAAACAGGATGAAAGTAAACCTTAAGAAAACAAAAGTGGTTGTTTTCAGAAATGGAGGGCCTCTTAGATCTTATGAAAAGTGGTATTTTAATGGGGTACAAATAGAAACAGTATCTTGTTATAAATATCTTGGCATTATATTTACACCAAAACTTGTTTGGGCCAGGGCACAATTGTGTTTAGCATCTCAGGCTAGAAAGGCAATTTTATCAGTTAATCACTTGCAAAAGAAATTCGGAAACATTAACTGTACAGATTTACTCAAATTTTTTGATGCATTGATCACACCAATATTATGCTATGGTTAAAAGATATGGGGAACTTCTTATTGTAAAAGTATTGAATCGCTTCTCCTTGATTTTTGTAAAAGCATCTTATAATAAATAGGTCATCTTGTAATTCATGGGAATGTGGCAGATTTCCCCTGCAGTTTAACTATATGATCCGTGTAATCAAATATTGGTGTAGATTGTTACAACTTCCTCATGACAGATTACCTTTTCAAAGCTACCTTATGCTTAAGTCATTAGATGATAGTGGTAGAACAACATGGGCATCAAAAGTTAAAAGTCCTCTTTTTAATTTTGGTTTTGGATATGTTAGGTTGAGCCAAGATGTTGGTGATATTAATATGTTTATAAGCTTATTTAAACGAAGATTATCAGATAATTTAAAACAGTCCTGGTACTCTTCCCTGAGTAATTCCCCCCAAAACAACTATTATCAGTATTTTAAATCGGCGTTAAATGTTGAACGTTATTTATCGTTTAACCTTTCTACACCTTTAAGAGCTGCTCTAGCACAATTTAGGTGTAGCAATTTTAAAATAGCTGTAGAAATTTGGCGTTATAACAACACTGATTATAATCAAAGATTTTGTACATCATGTAAATCTAAAGGTCTTACCTATATTGAAGATGAATTTCATATAGTGTTCATTTGTGAATCCTATTCACAACTAAGAGAGAGGTTTATTACAAAATGTGTTAAAAAGCCTTATACTGTATACTCTTTAACAAATCCTTTCAAGAATACTAATGTAGACATTGTAAAATCTGTTGCCTTGTGTCTATTTTATGTTAAAAGGATTATTACAAACACACTTGAATGATCATTGTGCCCCTGACTACACTGGAATTTCCTTTTGAATTTTTTTTGGGCCTACGGCCTTTTACTGGAAATAAACTCTGTCTGTCTGCCTGTCCTATTCCAGTTTTCAAGTTGGTATTCTTCAATTTACGCCCTGGTATTTCAAGAAAAGAAAATGGGGAAAATGCATGAGATATCAGAGAAAATTCTATGCAACAAGCCTATATTCAAAAGAGTTAATAAATCTATTTGTGACGTCCTCCACAATGGTTTACGTCAAACCGTATTCTCTACTTACGTCATAGCGTTTACACCGGCCAAATTTTCAACACGGACTGCCAGATTCTCAAATTAAAATTTAGACATGTATATGAAGATATTTATCATCTTTCAGGATTATAAATCATCATAATTCACTCGTAAAAATAACTAATGAAGTCCAATTGGATGGTAAATTACGTCGCTTGTCAAACCTAAATTATTTGCGGGCAGGTTAGTTTTGATCAGGGCTGGCAAGTTTTACATCTAACCAGCCCTGTGGTCTGGCTGAAATTTTTAGGAGTTTCATACCCTGCTAAATAAAGTATACATTTGCAAATTACGCTAGATAACTGTCTCCTTCAGGCGATGAGGGATGACAGTGTTTTCTAACTGTAACATTGCTCTGCTGACCTTTCGGTTTGACTTCATGTGACTGATGTCCATGTGACTACATGTGCTCTCTATATAACTCAACACGTTTTCCTGGCAATTTCGACAAGATTAGTAATAAACGCTTTACCAGTGAATCATAATACTTCACTTCACCTCTTAATGATGGAAATAGGAACGAGTGAGTGAGTGAGTGAGTGAGTTTGGTTCTATGCGGCTTAAAATAGTATTTCAGTTTAATCGCTGCGTTTCATTTGATGTGGGGAAAGCAATGCGTGTCAAGACGTATACTGCTTTGAGAATCACACGAACCTGGAGTTGGAGTTGACAATTCAAGGGTCATAGTCGGAACAGTTGCTGGACATGAGCCCACGATGCTGAATCCTGGAGACGTCAAAACCCGCCCAGTCGAAGCCGTAACGGTAAACACAAACTTTGCGAGGATGTTTGAGGTTTCAGCATGTCCTTACTTTAATGTTAGTGGTAATGGTATGAATGTAGGTTAGGTCAGTTCAACAGAAACATTGCCGGGTATTTCGCCACATGCGTTTCATGCATACGACACCAAATGCACACTTCTATTGCGCTTGGACACGGTTCCAATATTGATAATTATCGGTATTGCATAAATTTTGTATTCAAGCTGTATAACGACGATCTGTAAATAATGGAATTTATATCAAACAACCCAGTGACTGACATCATGAGCATCGATCTACGCAAATGGGACACGATGACATGCATCAGCCAGCCTGACCATCCGATCCCGCCAGTCGGCTTCTACAACAAGCATGGTTTGCTGAAGATCAATTCTAGGTAGTGAGTTTAGTTTTACGCCACACTCAGCAATATTCCAGGTATATGGCGGCGGGTCAATTCTAATCCGTATATTCACGGGTAATTGCAAGTTAGTGGTATATTTATGGTAACATGTGACGTGTTTTGGAATATGTCTATTAATTTGACATTCATGATCACATTGAGAAATCATTAACAAAACGCAAAATGTACGAAGAACAACCTACCTTAACGTCTGTCTCCTGTGGATGACAACGTCGTTCTGTTATCACTGATGCCCCAACGTCCGGGTTATAACAGCTGTGATTCATCAATCAGTAATTAGCCCTCAACCCCTTCAATCAAAGTGCAGCTTGAAATATACCAACATAATTGTCCAAACATCACTCACAACCTTCCACTATAAGAACACGTTGACAATAAAGAACATAATGTGTCGAATTATAAGTACTTATATCCACTTTGACATTAGACTTCATTCAGTTAACATTAGACTTCATTCCGGATAGTTCCACTAAAACAACGGACCTTTGACTTAGAAATCAAAATACTAAAGAATGACCTTTCTTGTTATTACGTGTAGGAATGAAAATTGGCCCTAAATTTATAGATCATATACATATAAGTGAATAAAATTGTATGGGCGCAGTCATCTCAAATAATGCTTATTTTGCCTAATAAAAATTAACCAGCTAAACATATAGAAAAAGGCCAAAGTATACAGTAATTTTCTTAATGTAGAGTTTATAGAATGAGATTTATGGAATATTTCGAGGTTTTCTGTAACGAGATGTTATGTTTGCATACTGTAAAACCTTGTTAATCCAGAAACCCACCTATTCAATTCGTTTGTATTATCTTAATCCGTATAAAAAACGTACCAACGAGTAATTGTACTTTAAATCTTTGTCTATTTTGACGAAGATCATATGACCTCTATTCCGGTTTTCAAATTGTTATTCTTCAATAGCATAATTTGCCCTTTGTTAAAAGCTGGCGACAAGAACGACCCCGATAATTACCGTGGTATATCCTCATTGATTCCCCTTTGTAAATTATTTACATCAATTCTTAATAAAACATAAAAAATCTGGTGTGATTTAAATAATATCATTTGTGAATATCAGGCTAGCTTTTAGGAAAACTATTCTACAACAGACGACATTTTTTTAAACTTCAGGCTGTCATACAGAAATATTCATGTAAAAAACAGGGCAGATTTTATTGTCTTTTTTATCGATTTTTCAAAAAGCTTTCGATACTCTTAAACATGATATACTTATAGATTCTATTCATAAGGTTGGATTAGATGGGAAGTTCTTAGATATTATCACATGTATGTATAAGTCACTTTGTGCCTGTGTTAGAACCCCTGAGGGACTTTCTAAACAATTTTTCTTGTAATGTGGGTACCTGCCAGGGATGCATTTTTAAGCAGTCAGATATTTATAATATTTATTAATCATTTATGCACAATTATGCAAAGTGAAGGTGGTATGGGAATATTTATCACTGTTGTTTCTTTTCAATAGTGTGTATGCCCATATGTTTGCCTAATGAAGTTTCGGCTCTTTCAAGACACTTGTATTCAATTGCAGAAAATGATAAATGCCCTTGAATTATTTTGCAAGGAAACAGGATGAAAGTGAACCTTTAAGAAAACAAAAGTGGTTGTTTTCAGAAATGGAGAGCCTCTTAGATCTTATGAAAAGTGGTATTTTAATGGGGTACAAAATAGAAACAGTATCTTGTTATAAATATCTTGGCATTATATTTACACCAAAACTTGTTTGGGCCAGGGCACAATTATTGTTTAGCATCTCAGGCTAGAAAGGCAATTTTATCAGTTAATCACTTGCAAAGAAATTCGGAAACATTAACTGTACAGATTTACTCAAATTTTTTGATGCATTGATCACACCAATATTATGCTATGGTTAAAAAGATATGGGGAACTTCTTATTGTAAAAGTATTGAATCGCTTCTCCTTGATTTTGTAAAGCATCTTATAATAAATAGGTCATCTTGTAATTCGTAGAATGTGGCAGATTTCCCCTGCAGTTTAACTATATGATCCGTGTAATCAAATATTGAATTGTAGGATTTTGTTACAACTTCCTCATGACAGATTACCTTTTCAAAGCTACCTTATGCTTAAGTCATTAGATGATAGTGGTAGAACAACATGGGCATCAAAAGTTAAAAGTCCTCTTTTTAATTTTGGTTTTGGATATGTTAGGTTGAGCCAAGATGTTGGTGATATTAATATGTTTATAAGCTTATTTAAACGAAGATTATCAGATAATTTAAAACAGTCCTGGTACTCTTCCTGAGTAATTCCCCAAAACAACTATTATCAGTATTTTAATTTAAAATAGCTGTAGAAATTTGGCGTTATAACAACACTGATTATAATCAAAGATTTTGTACATCATGTAAATCTAAAGGTCTTACCTATATTGAAGATGAATTTCATATAGTGTTCATTTGTGAATCCTATTCACAACTAAGAGAGAGGTTTATTACAAAATGTGTTAAAAAGCCTTATACTGTATACTCTTTAACAAATCCTTTCAAGAATACTAATGTAGACACTGTAAAATCTGTTGCCTTGTGTCTATTTTATGTTAAAAGGATTATTACAAACACACTTGAATGATCATTGTGCCCCTGTCTACACTGGAATTTCCCTTTGACTGTATTTTGGGCCTACGGCCTTTTACTGGAAATAAACTCTGTCTGTCTGTCTGTCCTATTCCAGTTTTCAAGTTGTTATTCTTCAATTTACGCCCTGTTATTTCAAGAAAATGGGAAAATGCATGAGATATCAGAGAAAATTCTATGAAACAAGCCTGTATTCAAAAGAGTTAATAAATCTATTCGTGACGTCCTCCACAATAGTTGACGTCAAACCGTATTCTCTACTTATGTCATAGCGTTTACACCGGCCAATCAACAATGTGACTAAACACAGCGTTCGGAAACCCTGCCTCCCCGACCGCCCAGGACGGGCTATTTTCAACACGGACTGCCAGATTCTCAAATTAAAATTTAGACATGTATATGAAGATATTTATCATCTTTCAGGATAATAAATCATCATTAATTCACTCGTAAAAATAAATTATGAATTCCAACTGGATGATAAACTACGTCGCTTGTCAATCCTAAATTATTTGCGGGCAGGTTAGTTTTGGTCAGGGCTGGCAAGTTTTACATCTAACCAGCCCTGTGGTCTGGCTGAAATGTTTTTGTTTCATACCCTGCTAAATAAAGTATACATTTGCAAATTACGCTAGATAAGTGTCTCCTTTCAGGCGATGAGGGATGACAGTGTTTTCTAACTGTAACATTGCTGTGCTGACCTTTCGGTTTGACTTCATGTGACTGATGTCCATGTGACTACATGTGCTCTCTATATAACTCAACACGTTTTCCTGGCAATTTCGACAAGATTGGTAATAAACGCTTTACCAGTGAATCATAATACTTCACTTCACCTCTAAATGATGGAAATAGGAACGAGTGAGTGAGTGAGTGAGTGAGTTTGGTTCTATGCGGCTTAAAATAGTATTTCAGTTTAATCGCTGCGTTTCATTTGATGTGGGGAAAGCAATGCGTGTCAAGACGTATACTGCTTTGAGAATCACACGAACCTGGAGTTGGAGTTGACAATTCAAGGGTCATAGTCGGAACAGTTGCTGGACATGAGCCCACGATGCTGAATCTTGGAGACGTCAAACCCCGCCCAGCGGAAGCCGTAACGGTAAACACAAACTTTGGGAGCATGTTTGAGGTTTCAGCAGAATGTCCTTACTTTAATGTTAGTGGTAATGGTATGAATGTAGGTTAGGTCAGTTCAACAGAAACATTGCCGGGTATTTGGCCACATATACACGTCTATTGCGCTTGGACACGGTTCCAATATTGGTATTGCATAAATTTTGTTTGCAGCCATACTCAAGCTGTATAACGACGATCTGTAAATAATGGAATTTATAGCAAACAACCCAGTGATTGACATCATGAGCATCGATCTACGCAAATGGGATACGATACATGCATCAGCCAGCCTGTCCATCCGATCCCGTCAGTTGCCTCTTACAACAAGCATGGCTTGCTGAAGATCAATTCTAATCCGTATCTTCACGTATATTGCAAGTTAGTGGTATCTATATGGTAACCCTGTGTTTTGGAATATGTCTATTAATTTGACATTCATGATCACATTGAGAAATCATTAACAAAACGCAAAATGTACGAAGAGCAACCCACCTTAACGTCTGTCTCCTGTGGATGACAACGTCGTTCTGATATCACTGATGCCCCAACGTCCGGGTTATAACGGCTGTGTGATTCATCAATCAGTAATTAGCCCTCAACCAGTTCAATCACAGTGCAGCTGGAAATATACCAACATAATTGTCCAAACATCACTCACAACCTTCCACTATAAGAACACGTTGACAATAAAGAACATAATGTGTCGAATTATAAGTACTTATATCCACTTTGACATTAGACTTCATTCAGTTAACATTAGACTTCATTCCGGATAGTTCCACTGAAACTACGGACCTTTGACTTAGAAAGCAAAATACTAAAGTATGACCTTTCTTGTTATTACGTGTAGGAATGAAAATTGGCCCTAAATTTATAGATCATTTAAATATAAGTGAATAAAATTGTATGGGCGCAGTCATCTCAAATAAAGCTTATTTTGCCTAATAAAAATTAACCAGCTAAATATACAGAAAAAGGCCAAAGTATACAGTAATTTTTTAATGTAGAGTTTATAGAATGAGATTTATGGAATATTTCGAGATTTTCTGTAACGAGATGTTATGTTTGCATACTGGAAACCTTGTTAATCTAGAAACCCACCTATACAATTCGTTTGTATTAAAGAATCTTAATTCCGGACGCTTTTTGGTGATGGTGTTGTCCGGGTTCACGGGGTTTGAGTTTATATCTTTATCATGAGAAGGAAGAAACAGCATGTGTATGTACTTTTATGAAGTGAGTGAGTGAGTTTTTACGACACTTTTAGCAATATTCCAGCAATATCACGACAGGGGACACCAGAAATGGGCCTGACACATTGTACCCATGTGGGGAATCGAGCCCTGGGTCTTCGGCGTGGCGAGCGAACGCTTTAACCACCAGGCTACCCAATCGCTCCTGTACTCTTATGAACTTTCATCACAGTCATCGGTAGAAATGTGTGACAGTAGCTCTTGGCACGTGACTGTCCTTGTGTCACGCACGTATGCAACAGGACGTCCATGACAGATTGTACAATAACACTTGATGTGCGACATACACGTGGTGGTGTACACTTCCTTTCATCTCCACTCCCGGAAGTAGGTGCAACAGATAAATATCATCATAATCATCTACATACTTGCGGATTGTATGTTTAATGTATGCTCCCTGCAACGTAAATGAATGATGTATGCTCCCTGTAACGATATTGATACAATAGTCACATTGATTTAACACCAGAAAATATTATTTTGAGTTTTAAGGGGAGAAATAATAATCTACTTAATGCCATTTGTCTCATGGTGAAACAAAATATTTACAATATGAGCAGAAAAGGGAGAAAACCTAATGTTAAAAGCATCCAAAAAGAAATATTTAGTTACTATCAAGCATGTAAATTCATTGCCTTTACAAACAACAATCAGTCCACATTTTTTACATTTTGGTCCTCTTTCCACACGCTATGTTTAGACTTGTAGCTTAATAATTAATTGTAAACCTTAAAGAGTACACTTTAATGTTAATATGATTTGCCTTGCAGGTGATTAGAAACAGTCAAACATGCAGCAGACGTTTTCATACACTGTACTTTGTATGCTTACGTATAGGTAAACATCTGTTGAGAAATAATGGGTAATGTTAAATGACCTATTTCTGCACGCTACCACAGGTAGTCAAACATACACATGTTGTAATTCATATACAATACGAAACAAATTATGTACCGATGCCTACTTATGTATTATGTAGTTATGCCCACTTATCTATATGTACAGTACAATCAGAAATTATTGAGAATTAAAAGATTGTAAATTTAAAAAAATAATCACTCATTAGTCACGTATTAAATGTGAATATAAGCAGAACATAACTACAGATTCAAAGACAGGTGAACAGTTAGTATTTTGTCAAGTCACCATGGGCAGCAATGCAGGCTTCAATGCGGCGGGGCATACTACTGATCAAAGAAGTTAGAAAGTCGTGGTCCATGCTGTCCCAATATCGGACCACCTCCTCTTTCATTGCAGCAATATTTGTCAGATTTTTCTTATTGACACTTTCCTTCATAAGTCCCCAAACATTTTCTATTGGATTAAGGTCAGGGCTATAGCTTGGCCAATGTAATAATGTCATATTTTGGGTCCGAAACCATGTCTGTGAATGCTTTGAACGATGTTTTGGGTCGTTGTCCTGCTGGAAAATCAAAAACATTCCATAGAACACGTGAGCAGATGGAAGTAAATGTCCCTCGAGAATATATGTGTACCACTCACTGTTCATTCCCTTCAAATACACAGAGGGACGTTGCCCCCACAGGGGCATGTCACGCTTAGAAACAGCGTTACAAAGACACATAGGTGTATAGACCCTACCCTAGTACTATTTAAAAGGAAAGGGATGTAACGACGGAACCACCCCCTCCTCAATCTAAGTTAGATTCCACGGGTCTAAAAACTTATTGCAACATCTACAAATCATTTCCTCGACAGTAAGCAGACATTTTCTCCAAAACCATCGGCAATCATACTCACTTGTCGGCCATAGATGGCCTTGACATTTAAGTGACCTGAGCAGTAAATTTGTAAAAATAATTTTAGAAGTTAAATATTTATAAATATAATTTCCTAAAAATGAATTAATATCGAATGCATTTTTACAACCTCTAAAACTATTCTTAACAATTAACTGTTTCGTACATCATCCAAAATAAAGGATTATTGCAAGTTCATATTCCGCGCCCATTAGCAAACCGTCAAAATCTTACAGTATATTATATTTTCCACGAATCGGATGTATGGAATACTGTAAGGGACATTCTCGCGATCTCGCATTCTCGCGATCTCGTCCTTTGGAAACAAGCTAAAATGCCAAAAGTGCGAGAATGCGAGATCGCGAGAACGCGAGATTTGGCCAAAATCTCGCGTTCTCGCGATCTCGCATTCTCGTGTTTTTGGTACATAGCACTTTTTGTCAAAAGTCGAGATCGCGAGAATGCGACATTTGTACATGCTGTCAAATCTCGCATTCTCGCAATCTCGACTTGTCAGATATGGCCACAAAAACACGAAATCGCGAGAACGCGAGAATGCGACATTGCATTTTCTTGCGTTCTCGCGATCTCGCGATCTCGCGTTTTAGACGCTGTCGTTGCGCATGCGTAATATCATAAGGCCAAGGCGCATGCGTATCTTAGTAGTGCTGTGGTCATGCTTCTTTCGTGCTTTTCATTTCCCAAGTAGCATTTAGCCAAATTATCACATAGCTTGAAAATGCTATGTAATTTACATACACGATGTGTAGGGTAGTGTATATAAGTCCGCTGCCGTTGTTTCCTACATTGTTTTCCTATGTACTTAAAAATCCTCAACGTGTTTAATATAATTTAAGAAACGAAATTGTGAATATGAATGTCCAATAAAAGTGAAAACATGAAAGTGTCCGGAAGCTGGATATATATTAACGTCAGTGAGTGATAAAATAGTGCTCAAAGCCGCATTAATTCGCAGCTACACCGTCAGTTATACAAATAATCACAGACCAGTGAGTTTCTCCATGATGCAATATCATATACGGCTAGCATATTCATTCAGACAAAATTCTAACAGGCCAATTTGTAGCACTCGGCTAAAATGAGCATGTCTGATGTTTTACTCGACACCATATTCGCTACTTTAATAGATTTTCTTCCGCTCCCGCCTGACTACAAAACATCCTGCTTTTATACTATGCTTTTGTCTTCAAGTTCCAAGAAATAGAAAAGCATTTGTATCGCTAATAGTTGTGTTCCTGTGGCAGCCATGATATGGCGGAGTTCCAATGTGTTATTAACCACAGACTACGGGTTATGAGTGAGATATCTGTTTATTTCCATATCGTGGTGGAAGAAGACACCCTGTAATAACGATAATATACACGATATATACAACATAAAATCACATCTGATGAACATGTCATCATAATAAATATAGTGCATAAATGTGCCTATCAACAGTCATATACCGGTATTACGCGATGCAATATAACAGAGGTGACTCACGTGATCACGTGTTTACAGTGATATACAAAATGAGTGTTGACATAAAGACTTATAATAATACATGGTATAATAATGAAATAGACAATAGATACTGTACAAATAACCAATCCTGTGGGTTAAACGAGAATGGGTTCGCGAATCCAGCAGCCGAACAGTCATCGCATGCACTAATCCCATATAAGAATCTTTGTCAAGTACATACAATATACATGGTAGATGAGATGTATCAATCTTACATGGCTTAACACGACTTTCAACAGTATTTATCTTTCAGTTATATCACGGATTATCAGTTCGATGTAGGATGAAACCCACCAGCATAGGTTTTTGGCACGCTCAAGGGACGCAACTCTATCGCGAATCCAGCAGCCGAACAGTCATCGCATGCACTAATCCCATATAAGAATCTTTGTCAAGTACATACAATATACATGGTAGATGAGATGTATCAATCTTACATGATACAGAAAATAGTTACCAAACAACAACTACTAGCCAGCATATTGACAGGACATATAGAAAACTACCATTAGCACATTCATACACGTTAAATGGCATATTGTGTATTGACTTTTATTTTGTTATCATGGGAATATTAATACCTATTTTGTGTAATGATTAATATTAGGGTTTAATTTACTATGTATGTTATATTATAATGCATAATAACTAACCTTTGATTCTGACCAAACTGTCACACAGAACTGTACATGAAACACAAAGACACCCGTGAAGGTCCGGGTTAGAAGGTATCTTCAGGAACCCGTGTTTGTCGTAAGAGGCGATTAACGGGATCGGGTGGTCAGGCTCGCTGACTTGGTTTACACATATCATCGGTTCCCAATCGCGCAGATCGATGCTCATGATGTTGATCACTGGATTGTCTGGTCCACACTCGATTATTTACATACAGCCGCCATATAAACCAAACTCAATCACTCACTCACTGAAACACAAGGACAAGAGGCAGCTGAACTGACAACTAATTGCAACTTAAATGCATAAAGAATTCGTCGCCTGCGAGACCACTATATCCTGATATAAGATAATGATGATTAGTTATTCATTTACGTACACAATATACAACCACCTAATTCACCCCTCTTACATTCCTACTTTCTTTACTTGATGAACATGCATGATGCATGTGAATCGAATCCTTCTACAGTAAATGTACACAGGTGCCTTAAAAAGTTCGATTAGACAAAAATTAAATGTAAATAAACATACTTCCGACCTCCCATGATTTTTAGAAATTAATCAAACTCTGTCTATTAATTTATTGCGGCCTTACCTTCACAAGCTCGGCATGCTAATATTGGAAATTAACCCCCATTCACAGCCCGGGGCACGTGCATTGCTCTAAATAAGTGAGTGAGTTTGGCTTAACACGACTTTCAACAGTATTTA